TTTTTCATCTTACGTTCCCTAAAATCAGGATTTGTTTTAGAGTTGATGGGATCTTACAATTAATTGGCAGTACTTTTCTTTCATAGTGTACAGCAGGGAAGGTAGCCTCAGACAGTTTCGATGGCAGGCTACACATGACGAAATACAGTCTTTATTATAGTGCTTCATTGAAGGGCTTTCTCAGATACCAGCACACTTGGTTATTTCTGTCTTAAGCCAAATGATGTGTACAAACTTTACTTCCCAGCTAAACACCACATTTAGAGAAGGTTTAGGATTCCCATGTACCAAACAATAGGTGTTGGGAATTCAGGACTTGGAGGTGGAGAAGAATGAATTCCCATCTGTAGATATTCTTGTAAGTAACCAGAAGTGGCTGTCCCCTTTGTGCGCATGTCAGAATGACACACACTTGATGAATGACACTGGCAAACCAGAAGCAGTCTGTTAACTTTAGCAGTGTCCTGTTAATGGGATAACAGGCAACTTTTTTTTTATACTTTGCTGCTGTTCTGAATCTTCTTTAATGAATGGATATTACTGTTTGTTTCTTCAAATAGTAAATGCTCCTTAACAAGATAGAGCCATCCTTGGGCCAAGACAGTAATAATACTAGCATTCTTTTTGTGACTTTTATCCAGTTGTATACTTTAAATATGTGCGATTTGTATCATGTAATTTGTACCTTAATAAAGCTGGCTTCGTCTTTTTTTGTTGAAGAGTCCTAGTTGAAAAGATAATTTCTGTAGTGGCAGTGTGACATGGTGCAGTGAAAACGTAAGGCAGATGTGTCCTTCTGAGATTCAGGAAGGTTTCAAAGTGCAGGTAACCCTTGAGCTTTTTTGTTCTGAGCCTTGAAGAAAGAATGAAGTTTGCCAACCAGAAAACAGAAAATGGCAGGACATGCATCCCAAGGACAAGGACAGAATGCAAAGGCTTGAAGTACCCTTGCAGAGCAGCTGTGACATCCCTTTCAGCCCTGGGTTATAATATTTCATATATACATCATCTCCACTGCTAACTCAAGACCCCTGGGCCCTGTAGGCAGGGATTTTGTACACTCCTTCTGTAACCTTTAAGGTGCGTGACAGAACCTTGCAGCCCTCGTAGAGTGTTCCCAGAGGGGACTAAAATAAGAATGTGCAAATGGGGTTAGCAACTCCCCAAGCATCTACTTACAGAAAGCAAGGGTCTTTGAGAGAAAGAGAAGAGACAGAAAGACCTTTGAGACAGAAGCTATAGGTGTATGGGTACCTGGGTGGCAGGAAATACAAAATGGGAGGGACTTAAGTAAGTGCCTGGGCCCTTTGGGAGGGAGGGGCTTTGTTTCCCTAGGCTCTGAACCCAGCCTTGCCCTGGCTGGGTGAAGGATGAAGGGTCTGTACGTTCTGTGGTAGCCCCTGGGTTTTGCAGCTGCCTGGGCAGAGTAGGATTCCTTCAAGAAGCAGCAGCTACCGGCCCTGTTGTTGGCCAGCTGAGACCTAGTCAGAATGAAGACAGTGTCCTGTGGACGTAATCTTGGGAGGAGCTTCATAAGGTAACTCACACCCTCCACCAGCCCACTGGCTGCGTGCTGGCCAAATGTCAATGAGAATGATAATGGGATATCATTCGTACCCACAGAGTGGCATGATACAGAAACACTGGGGTTAGAGTCAATATTTTCAAGCTAGTATTTGTTCAGTGCAGCACCCAGAAGACATCGGTTACAAACATGACATTACATATTAAGACAAAGTCTTTATTTTATTTTGCCTCTCCAGAAGTCTCCTTCTCTCTAGAAGGGCAGACTTTTAGGGTGATTTTTTTAATCAATTACTTTAACCATTTTCTGCCTCTCTTTACTGCCCACACAAAATAGAAATAATAATCACCATTAGTTACGCAAATATTTTAGGTAAAATTCAAAGTCTTTGATCTCTGAAATACATGATCTTGCAGTATGTAATTATAATTCAGGTTATCTGTGAGCTTATTTTTGGTTCTTTGCTCATGAGTCTATGGTCTGTAGTCATTGTCTGAACTTGAGGATGCCTAACGTGCACGAAGAAATAAAATGAGCTCTTTCCCAAGAGTGTGAGCAGTCTCACAAAAATACCTACTTTTTCTCTTAAGAATGAACTTAATGCAGGGTGCCTGGGTGGCTTAGTTGGTTAAGTGTCCAACTCTTGATTCCAGCTCAGGTCTTGCTCTCAGTCAGGGTCATGAGTTCAAGCCCTGCATTGGTCTCCATGCTGAGCATGGAGTCTACTTAAAAAAAAAAAAAAAAGAATGAACTTAATGCTGAAAATTATCTCAATTACTATTCTTGTCTATTTGATGTTGAGTGTTTACCTTTCTAGTACAAGACACCTGCAAAATGTCAAAATCTACAGGCGGCTCAGAGGAGTCAACTACATGGGGCTCAAAGTACTTTCACGTAGCAAAGCTAACACTAATTTATGTTCAAATATAAACTCTAAATTAATTAGAAAAGATGGAAAACATACCAATCCATTTGGAGGGTTTAACCATGGATGTCTTCTTAATAACAACTATCCAAAGTAGGCCCCTATTATTTATTTATGAGGATTATACTTTAGCCCATCATTTCAGGAACAATATTTCATCTTAATACACTGTTTCCAAAACCTGAATCTCAGGTTGAAAGTTGAGCTTGTTCTTTTTCTTCATATGAACAGCTCATCATTACCAGCATTAACATTAAAAGCATCTGTGTATGACTCAGTCTGTTTAACGGAGCGGGAATTCCTTCCTTTCCCTATTTTCCCACCCAGCCCCTACCCAGCAGTCTGGCTGATTTTATACTGTTCCAGTGGAATTCCTTTTGAAAACATCATATGGATTTGAATATGCAACAAGTCATAAAGGACATCTCCTGTCCCATGACAAACATATTCATGGAGCAAAACTCTAGTAAAATACATTAAACTATATATTAGAAGTTAATTCCATTTCACTGGATTTTTGTCCCATGCACTGAAATTATAAAGGAGTGTCACTGGATTTTATGTGCTGCCACTTATTCTTTTACATTCCTACCATCTTGATTAATTTGTTCTTTCGTAAGTCTCCCTTATATTTCATGCAAAATGGGAATTTTGCAAGTAAAAAGGATGTGAATTCCCAAAACAAAAGTTAGCATTTCACTTAAGTGCAAATAAAATCAGGTTCAATTGCTATTTACCTAAACAGTAACTAAACTCAAAATACTATGTAGTCCTGGCTTTCCACCATTGCAGGTAAGTGGAAATCTGTAATAATCTTCCCATCCACCAATGTGAGACTGACAACAGTTGTTCAGTGAATTGTCCCTGGTGGGATGGTTGCCAGCCTCATCTATAGAAAGGTGATGAGAGTAAAGGTACATCCAAAGGGAAGTGGGTTAGATTAAAAGTCAGTTATATAATAAATCCTAATATATGAACTAAAACCATAAACCTCATGGAGAAAACATAGAGATAAGTGTATGACTTTGGATTTGGCAGTAGATTCTCAGATATGACACCAAAAGCATGAGCCATAAAAGAAAAATTAAATAAATAGGACTTCATTAAAATTAAAAACTTTTGTGCATCAAAGGATATTATCAATAAAGTGAAAAGACAGCTGACAGAATGGGAGGAAATATTATGCCAGTCATATGTCTGATAAGGATCTAGGATCCAGAATATGTGAAAAACTCTTTCAACTCAACAACAAAAAGGCCAACAACCCACTTTAAAATGGGTCAAGTCCTTAAATAGATATTTCTCCAAAGAAGATATACAAGTGCCCAACAAAAACATGAAAACATGCTTATCATCATTAGTCATTAGGGAAATATAAATCAAAACCACAGTGAGAAACCACACACGCTAAGATGGCTATCATAAAATTTCTCAAAATTAAAAGAAAATAACAAGTGTTGTTGAGGATGTGGAGAAATTGGAGCCTTCATACATGGCTGGTAAAAATGCAAAATGATTGAGCCACTGTGAAAAACAGTTTGGCAGTTCCTCAAAAAGTTCCATATAGAATTACCATATGACTCCACAATTCCATTCATGGGTATATACCCAAAAAGACTGAAACAGGGACTGAAACAAATACATATACCTGTGTATTCGTAACAGCCCTATTCACAATAGCCAAAAGGTGGAAACAACTGAAATATCCATTAATGGATGAATGGCTAAACAAATTGGTGTATATACACACAATGGAATATTATTTGGCCATAAAAAGGAATGAAGTACTGATCCATGCTATGACATGGATGAACCTCCAAAACATTATACTAAGTGAAAGTAGACAGAACAAAAGGTCACATGTTTTATGATTCCACTCCCTGAAATATCCAGAATAGATAAATTCATAGAGACAGGATACAGATTGGTGATTGTCAGGGACTGAGAGAAGGGAGGAATGAGGAGACACTGCCTAAAGGGTAACAAGTTTTATTTTGGAATGATGGAAATATTTGCAACCAAATAGAGGTAGTGGTTATACAACATTAAGAGTATACTAAGTGCCATTGAGTTGTTCACTTTAAACATTTTTTTAAGATTTATTTATTTTTATTTTAGAGAGAGAGTGTACAGGGGTGGTGAGGGGCAGAGGGAAGAGAGAATCCCAAGCAGACTCTGTGCTGAGTGTGGAGCCTAACGCAGGGCTCAATCTCAAAATCCTGAGATCACGACCTGAGCCAAAACCAAGAGCTGGACACTTAACCGACTGAACCACCCAGGCCCTAAATTGCTCACTTTAAAGTGGTTAATTTTATGTTATGTGAATTTCACCTCAATAAACAAAAAGTCTACAATACAAAAGCGAAGTGATTGTGAACTACATTTCTGGAACTGCTTAGTAAGCACATTGATATAAATGTTTCTCATTACAGTGGCTGGTAGAGATCACGATTAATGAATAGGGTCTAAATGACCAATAGTATGTCTCACATTCAACTAGATTTTGAAAGTCAAAATAAGAAAATTAATTGATATTTCTTGTTCTTTTAGGACTCTCAGCTTGTTTCCTCCGGACACAGTAATCCAAGTAAGAAAGACTTCTCTCTATAGCTTCATATGTGGAGGGTGGAAGATAGAGGCGGTGAGGAGGGGAAGAAGCATGCAATAGACTGTAGGTTGAGAAGAATTTCACAAGAAACAAAATCAGGTGGGGAAAAAGAGGGCCATTTGTTCAAGTACCGCCCAAATTGATAAGATTCTGGAGTGCTCCTCTAGCTTTATTCAAAGGGAAGGAGGACCAAAACATAAAATGGTGAATTTCAAAGCAGTCCTGGGAGGAAGGAATATTTTGCTTTATTAAAGTTGGTCTCTGGTATATGTGGAGGGGAAAAAATCTTTAAAGGCAACTAGGGAGTTATCTAAATTGAAAGAAAACGAGTGGGCCAAGAGAACCAATCAGAAGACCTCAAGATAAATGACCTTAGAATCCATGAAGAAATCATGCCCTCTTCCAGAGATAGTCAGGCTGCAGTGTCTAGGAAGCACCTTTCTTACCGAAACCAGTATTTAATAAAACATGTGGGCTTCATCGTCGAAGAGAGGATGTTATCATTCCATGAAGTAGTGTTTTAATTCTCTTCTTTGGCACTAGTAATTGGTGTTAATATCTTCTTGAGCATTAAAAATGCATATGCTACCCCATTCATGTCATGAAAGCACACTCACCAAGACGGCATTGTTAGTCTCATGACCAGCCAGTCAGCTGAGAGTACCCCTTGCCAATTGCAAAGCTACGTTTGAACATGAAAATCACTCTGAGCTAGTAAATGTGTCTTTGGAACTGAGGCTTACCCACTGAGCATCTGTGAGGCAGAAGGCTTGAGGAGAAAAGACATCCAGACAAATGTGTTAGAAAGCCACAGACTTTTAATGCACAGCTAGAGAAAGGTCAGGGTCGGAGGATGGTGGCATCATGATGCATAGGTAATATCACTTAATTATCCCACCCTCTTTTGGGATTTGCTGTGAGCACAGGCACTGGTGAAGAGGTAAAAGGCCAAGGGACTGGAAATCTAAAGAAAATGATAAATTGAATGGTAAGAAAAGGACTTAAAAGAAATGCCTGATTAAGTCCATGAGATGTGCAGTATCAGCATCATATGCCTTATGATCATACTAAAGAACATACTAGAGAACTAGAGCATACTGAAGAGTTGCCATTACTTTCCTCACTATTTCTTTCTATTTGAACTTAAACAGTTCAGGGTAAAGGGAGAATATAATCGATGTACATTCATTGTACTTGCTTGAGCTTAGTAAAGAACAAAGGAAATAGCTGTTGAGTCTCTTCTGTGTTCCAGTGCCTTGACGTGGAATTTCACTGAATCCTAACCATAGGCATATAAGGCAGGCATTACCATCCCCATTTTGCACGTGATGAAAATGAGATTTTGAGCTTAATAACTAACCCAAGGTCACATGGTCAAACAAAAAATGACTGCCAGGATTTGTATTCGGGAATCTCTACCCCAAAGACAACAGACTGTATTGCATTACCTTGACCCCTAGAAGATTGCTTCTGTCATTTCACTGTGAGTTTGAATTCTTGTCCAAGAACTATAGACTGTGATTTTTGTATGCATCTAGCGTATTTTTATGGCATGTCAGAAATCCACGTGCTTACACTGCAGCATAGATTATGTAGAGCAGACCTCATCCTCTACGGAATGTAAGGTGGCACCTGCCTTGTGTGGTATACTCTCTGGCATTTCATCGTCTATGGAAATTTGTGATTGGCCTCCTCTTTTCTAGGGATAGGGGGATATTTTTTTTTTCTAAATAAGTTTACCCCAAAGCCAAGCACGTCTATAAAAAGGTAATACCGCTATTTAAAAATCTGAGCTTTTTCTATAGATTAAAGCACATTTGAAACTTCAGGAGAGCTGATGCCACCGGCATTTCCAGTGCTGTTTCTTGTATTTAGTTTGGAATCATTACAGTTTGGAATGTGTTTGGAATTCTGACTCCAGCAAATATGTGGAAATAGAAAAAACTGAATTTCAAAGACACCGCACAAAAATGTGTATGTGTGGACTGACAGACTATCACTTTTGGTCGGTCCTTTTTTTCTTTTTGAAATCAGAAAAAGTATGTTATGTACATAACTAAGGGAAAAGAGTGTGTAAATTAAACAAATTCTTTTCAATCCAAATCCTTAAAAGATAGATGCTTTAGTCAATTTGTTGAATTAATGATTAATTTAATATTATAAAAGTTTATTAAGTTTAAGACACTTAAATATTAAAATAGATGACATATGTCTATGTTTTTCAAAAGTTATGAGCACATGGTGTTCAAGAGGAAAACTAAACATAAGCACTTCTTCCCCTTTCTTCAGAATCCGCATTTAAATAACCAAAAGCTATAGTAATGGAAATAAATTCATAATAGCACAGAGAACAAAAAGGGATGCCATCAACAAACCAGAAATTCAGTTGAATTTTTGGAAAACAGAAGCAGAAAGGACCATACTGTTTGATAATCTGGCAGAGAAAATCATGACCCAGAAAAAGAAAAAAAGGAAAATAGTGAAACAAACAGGAACAAGTTCTAGTGATTGTGGGAACTATCCTAGGGAGCTCCCAGAGAGACTCCATATTTCCATTCAACCCCAAGAAAGAATAGATAGGCATGGATTGTGGGCAATGACAGGAACACCTGGACCATTCTTCCCCCGATTACCTCCACTCCCATCCTAACTGGTTCTCATAGAGAGCATTCAGTCTGGTTTTTCTCCCAAAAAGAAAAAAACAAAAGACAAAAAAAAAGTAATATTTACTAAGAAAATGAACAGCTGACTAGAAGTCCTAGTTGGGGGCTGATAACTAAGAAAGAAGCAAAGTAGATTCTGAGATGATACCAGAACTTAAAAATAGACATATATGGGTGGTAGAAGAAGAGTCACGTTTTCTCAAGAAGGAAATAAAAACACTACACACTCAGGGTAAAGTACTTCCTACTTTTGTCGGGGTGTAGGGGGAGGGTCAGGGCTCCCAGCTTACCTTGAGGCCTCTCTTCTCCTGAACCCTAAATGAAGTCTTCCAGTCACAGTACCCTGTGGACTTACAGAGAGCTCTAAATCAGCCCTTCCCTACAAGGCAAAGGTATGTTAGGAAAAGAGATCAATATACTAATAAAGGAAATTCACACCAATTACCTTCATTAATCAACCCATTATCATTCAAAAATGTGAATATGTAACAGAGCACCAAAGAGAAGGAACGGCCCTAAGGGAATCAATCTATTAATTTAAAGAACAGAAGAAAAAATTTCAAGCGTCATCACAATCTTCAGAAAAAACTGAAATTATTTGTATTAAATATAAAGAGAACAGATTGGCAGGAAAAAGAAGTAGTTGCAGAATAAATGAGGACTTGAGAATTTAAAGTATGGTCAATAAAATTTAAAAATAGAAATGATGAGTAATAGCTGAAGCCTGGAATCTAGAATACAAGGTTGAAAACATTTTTTTTTCTGGATATAAAGCAAAAGACAGATGGAAAATATGACAGGAAGATAAGACACTTGGAAAATCAATCAGGATGGAAAGGTCAAAATCCAGCTAATAGGAATACCAGAAAAGGGGGGAAAAGAACAGAAAAGAATAAAGAATAATAAAAATAGAATTCTAAGGGAAATGAGCAACTCACTATCAAAACCACTCATATACTAAACTTAAAAAAAATAGGGGCACCTGGCTGGCTCCGTCAGTGGAGCGTACAGCTCTTGATCTTAGGGTCATGATTTCGAGCCCCACATTGGGTATGAGATTGCTTAAGTAAATATACTTAAAGAGAAAACCACTCACGTACAAGAAAACAAGAGACCATAAACAAGAGCAATAAAAAACAGCAGAGAATTAGTTAGACCTGCAAGGACTAGAGAGATTGGAATTACCAAGCCCATCGCTTCTTGGCCTTTTGGCTAAGATCAAGTGGAATTACCAAGCCCAAAATATAAAACAAGAGTGCTTACTTTAATTTCCAGAAATAAAAGGAAAGGATTGAAAATGTGGTAAAGAACAAGAAGATTTGAAGAAGTACTAATCAGAACCTCTAGAAATGAAAAATAATAATAGGAAATAAGATTTCCTTGGTCAGGTTTAACAGCAGATGATTGGATTTCACTGAAGAAAAAAATAATGAATTGGGAAATTGGACTTAAGCGATTATCTAGGGTACAGCCTAGAGAAATGACAAATACAAAATGGAAGTTAAGAAACATGGGGGGTAAAATGAGAAGGTCTCACATATACTTAACTAGAGTTCCAGAAGGAGATAAGGGAACAGAGGAAATATTAAAGGAGAAAGTGGCTGAGAATTTTCCAGAATTGAAAGACACTACCCCACAGACTGAAGGAACTCAATGAACGCGAAGCAAGATAAAAAAGAGGTCCTCACTAGACATAGTTAAACTGCAAATCACAAAGATAGGAAAAATTCTTAAAATAACCTTTAATACCTTCAGAGAAGCAACAATCAGACTTCCAGTTGACTTTTCTTTCTTTTTTTTTAAACAATATATTTTTTTAAAGATTTTACTTATTTATTTGACAGAGAGAGACAGCGAGAGAGGGGACAGAAGCAGGGGGAGTGGGAGAGGGAGAAGCAGGCTTCCCGCTGAGCAGGGAGCCCGATGCGGGGCTCGATCCCAGGACCCTGGGATCATGACCTGAGCCGAAGGCAGACACTTACCCATCTGAGCCACCCAGGCGCCCCTCCAGTTGACTCTTCAACAGTGGCAGTGGGACAGTGGGGTCCAGCAGACAGCAAATTTATAACTTCACTTTTCTATATGTGGAAAATGACAAGCTGATTCTCACATTTATTTGATAGAACAAAGGGCTAAGAGTAGCTCGGACAGTCCTGAAGAAGAACAAGGTTGGAGCCTTGTCTTATCAGTTTTAAAAATAAATACATATTTTTAGCTAAGTAACGAAGATAGTAATAGACAAATTGAGCAATGAAATAGAAGACCCAGGAACAGACCCACAGATGTATGAAAACTAGATTATTACAGAGCTGATAA